GAACAGCTAAGATACTGCGCAGAACCCTCAAGCTCCCAGGCCTCTGGTAGAGGACCCGAGCTTGAAGGATAAACCGCCCGCAGGGGCGTGCTGGGTGTGTATATATATATATATATATATATAAAATCACAATAACATCTGATTGGTGTGTTGTTTACCACACCAAATGCAATAAAAGCTACCATTTAGGACTGTTGCATTCGACTGCATTAGTTTACCTTGACCTATTAAACCTACGTGTGTGTTAGAGAAGCCAAATTGGAGTCCTGTGACTTTCGGCCGTTTTAGTAAAAAGACGCTGTAAAGGGCAGTCTGCAAACCAAACACACTGTTGCTATGCGTGTCCATTTGGACGTCCTCATAAGCTGTGTGCCACATAAACATGGTCAAGTCTCTCTGTATATCACGTAACCTTCACTGGGCAGATTTATTGGTCAGCCCAAGGATTACATCTCTGGTATCTGTCAGCAAGCCAGATGGCAGCAGGTGACCATAAGTCATAATAAATGCAGGGGTATTTTTTTTTTTTTAAAGGCGTTTATTACAGTTGTTAATAGGGATCTGGGTCACTTTGCTAAGAATTTAAAGGTGTATTATGCAACATTAGAAAAACAAACCTATAATATTTAATCAAACAAACATTAAGCTGTCACCGAGGCTGAATATATGAATCTGTGTGCTTTTCTTTTGCATTATGATTGATTTTAGTAATGAAATCCATAGCATAATAATTTGAGTGGTAGCCAAAGTCTGAAGTCAGCTCTGACCTTACAAATTTAACGGCCGTATACTTATTAAAATGAGTATTTTCTGTGCTCACTGGCACAAAATGTTATCGGAGCGCTTTCCATTATAAGTTTGTAGTGGTTCTCTTCACTCCTTGAATCAAAAAATGTCTCTCGCCGATCTCCCTTTCCCCCAATTTTTCTCTGTATTACTTAATAAATCTAAAACGGCACCATACATTTTATAGCACACTCTTCAAGGTGCCATGGTGCGCATATTTGATAAAAGTTACACTGTAATTACAATAAAATCTGTTCTTATCAAAACCTGCATTTCAGTTGTTGTGTATAATCTCCGTCTGTATCACAACTGTGTGTGGGCATAGATAAGTTAGTGCAGCCTTTAAACCCACTCATATTCTATATGTTGCAGACAGTATTGTTGTATTCTACAGATGCCTATATTGCTTCCTTCAGTGAGATATTTACCAAGAACGTTTTCTCTTAAAGAGCTCTTAAAAGCTCAGGGTCGTCGTTGCCGTAGCGCTTATTGGAAGCGACGCTTTGAATGCTGCATTTCATCATCATTTGCTCATGTAATCATTAGCGCTAATGTATAAATGTGACCTTTGGCTTAGCGAGAGACAACTTCTGTGCAAGCTTCAGGTGAAAAACAAGGATAATTCTCATTTTTAATAGAAAAAAAATGTTACCCCCTGGAAATGTGAACCTTAAATCTGCATGTTATTCCCATTAGGGATAGAGGCTGAATCCACACTTTTCTTCCTGGACAATTTTATCACAACCCAGTCATATAAGTATCCAATAGTTCGCCTTTAGCTGTACATGCTTTTTTTTTTTTTTTTTTTTTTTACCAAGCTTTGAAATGGGTCTTTGGATCTCTTTGGGGACAAAACCTGCAGCACAGGTTATTGGACTGATTCCACTTGGTGAGAAACTTTCCTGCCTATCTTTCTCCCTAACTCCTCTTGAGACTTAAACTTTTAATGCGCTTTGGTTCTCTGGTTCTTGTTAAAAGATAAATTGTGAACATTTAGAAAAAAAAAGGTCTTGAAAGCAACGAGACATATCCTGTTCTTGGGTATAAATAATACTGGCCCAGTAGAAAGGGACACGTGTGAAAACTAAAGTGCAGAATAAGATAAATATGAAAACAATAAAACTTTCATTAGTGGAAAACCAAGTATACTGCATCTTAAACACGTTCACTAGCTCTCAAAATCTTATTCAGCTCACTCTTATGCAATTTACATTTATTTTTAATTGATATCAGTCACTTAAACTACAAATCAAACTAAACAGAGCAAGCAGAGTTTTAGTTTGGAAACCTTTTCTGATCATTTTACATAAATGTGTGTCACACTTTTCATTCCTTTGCTTTTATTTTCTGAAACATTTATTCCTTGTTGGATGAGACTTTTCAGCTTGGATTTCAGCCGAAGAAGGAAAACATTTTAATTTACCACCACTGGAGGGAGCTATTTCTCCAGGTTTCCCCTCGCATGGCTGACTAAAGGGCACGGCACTTAGCTATCTCTTCTTTTCCTCCTCGAGGCTCTTCTGAACAAACCCACCTCCTATGTTATTGCCTTCTTTCATAAATTAGTACATTTAGTGCCATTACAGCTTCAAATGCCACCCACCAAATGGTGCCAAGTTCAGATGTTGGCTTCCCCCCGCATCTGGTTAATAACTTCCCATGTGCTGAGGAAGCTCCGATGTATCTTACCATTACCAAGAAAAATGATGTCAATAAAGTAGATGCTACTGATTTAGGACATTCAAAAGCCTCTGTAATGGATGTTTGCTGCATTATGGCAATGTTACTGACTCATATTTTTCTCTTCCAAACCACGAAGAAGAGGTAGAGCGCTGCCTCTTCTTCACGAGGGTGGAGGTTAGTCAGGGGTAATATTCTCTGCTTCCCCCCCCCCCTCTAAGTTTACAAGTACCTGAGGGATGGTGCTTTTAAAATGTCCTCGCTCTGGCTACTCCTTCATCCACTGACAAACTGCAGAAGGCCCAATCTACTCTGTAATTGCATCCTGGTGGAGTGGAAAAAATAATCCACAGCTGAAGCTATCCACCTCCCACCCTCAAAACCTTCCACCAATACACTGCCTCTAT